CTTTCAGTCGCTCAATTGTGTCAGCCTGATGTTCCATTGTTGCCCTGACTGTGTCCACCTCCTGTTGTAAATCCTTCACAGCTTCCTCATTGGTCATTGCCATAGCGAGCACGGAATCGCATTTTAGGCTAAAAGAGTCAACGGTCATTTGTAATCCTTCGACCGTGCTGCGCAGTTCATCGACGGCTGGTCTTAGAGCCAGCAACTGATCCACCTTAGATGGAAGGGGCAGAAGGGTATCAACACTAGTCTTTAACGAAAGAAGCTGGTTAAGCATAGCGCTGATCGAAGCCAGCTGACTGGTAACAGAAGCTCAATCTACAAGCTCACGTCGGCGTTGCCGGAATCCTCTAGTGAGCAGTTACCAGCAGTCCCTGAGACTGTTCGGATCTCGCCGGTCCGGCAAGTGGGACATTTCCATGTTTCTCGTCTAGCAGCGCCCATTCCCGCAAAAGTCCCATCCGCTATACCGGAACAGGGTTTACCAAGGTGGTAACCATTCCGACAAGATGCACATGTCAAAAACCTTCCGTCCGCCGGCAGAGCGCGAACGCATTTGATACAATTCATTATGTTGAGTACAGTAGCTATGAAACTATATCAGAGCTATGACAATGGAAAAGTCACAATCGACTGTTTATGGCGAAAAAGGGCAAAATTGAAAGGAAAGTGAACTCTAATCTCACCTATGTCCTGTGCAGCGCTTAGCACGCGAAAACAATTCGCCACTGTAACTCCGCGCTCAGTTCATGTGGTTGTCTCGTGCTGGATTGGAGCGTCGTGTCCCACCCGTGAATCTGTACGACACAGAGATTCAATGGGTGAGAACTGTAGGTGTCTTAAAGGAGCAATGCAACAATTTTTGTACTTTGCGCAAATACCGCTTAAAACGGATCCCTAATGTTAATGACCTATGAAACACGCGTTCGTTTTTCACCCCACGCAATAGAAGTCCCAGAAAAAAATTAAAGAAAAACGAGCAGCGTTTACCCCCTCAACTCGCAGCCAGAACAAGCGGCCATGTGATCTGGAGCCGATTATATGCCGCCAGTGTTGATCATAACCACGCGCTGGGGTTGGCAAAGCGGAGGACACGCGCTGAGTTCCAGACATTGTTATGGCTCGGCTGTTGTCGTCGTTGCAGCGATTGGACACGGGTCACAACCCGAATGCTTCTCGAGCTAGCAATTGTCACGAGCCCAAGTCGAGTGCCCACGCAATGCTCGTGTCCAATCTATGAACCGCATTCAAATATCGTCACTTGGGTGTACTGCGATCCCCGAGTTACGTCATCAAATTTTGCAAAGGAGAGATTGAATGGAAATGATCGCTTTTGTCCTTGAAATTACACCGCAACAAAGTAGTTTCTCGGCCAATGGCGTTGCGTGTGAGTATCCTTGAGTCCCAGGTGTGCCAGTAAGCTCGTGTAGAGAGAAAAACATTCCAACTGAATATCGTTGCACCGCCCCTTTAAGGGCCACAATGACCTTGCCCGGCATCTTGGAAAAGGTTTCCGTATTTCTCGTTCCCGTGTCTTGTCCCGTTAGTCGATCTGAGTACTGGAGCTCATTCAAGAAGAAAGACGTAGAGCTGGGAGCGCGAAAACAGGTCGGCCGGGTAATGTTGTGGAGGCTTGACTGGGAGCCGACAGCCGATCGAGGCGATGGAGGCCTTGTAAGGAGCAATGAACGTGCCCGGGATCACAGAGGGCTTGACTTGCGTCTCGGATGGCTTGTCCACCGTTGGTAAGCTTTCTCTGCCCTGTGCTGCACACCCGTGTCACGTGCGGCGCCCTGATGTATTGGGCAGGCTGCCACGAGATGCGTCGCTCACCGTGAAATTCGTCGTGCCAGGCAAGCTCGCGCACGACGGGCGTTCCAGAAACCGAGCCGGGCGAAGACGCGAAGGCACTTAGGCCTACCTGGTACGTTGCTGTCGAGAAGAGACGTTAAGGACCCAATCTTGGTCAAAAGCGGTGCCAGTGACGACGGGGGGGGGGGGGGGGGGGGGGGGGGGGGGGGGGGACCATCAACGCCACAGACCGCTCGTTGGCGCGGGATGTCTCGATTTGAAGTGATTACGAGTAGAAACTTTTAGCGAAGTCAGAGGAGCGACAGTTCCTGGGGACTTCTTGATGATAATAATAATAATAATATTAATAATAATAATAGTGATAATAATTATTATAATTGTGATGGAAATGAACAAAGCGAGTGTGAAGTAAGACCTGCCTAAGCCACATTTTGCTTGACTGGCAGCGTCTTATAATCAGTGAAACAAGCCGCATGGAAAAGGAAACATGTAAATTCACACAAAAAATAGAATAAAAAAAGCAAACTAGTGCGCACTTTACAAACTAAAATTTCTCAGGCCTTTCTTAAGCTTGTGCTTTGTTCTTAAATTAAACGTACAAGAGGGTAGTTTGTTCAGAAATGCAGGTACATAATTACTACGAGCTCTTTTTCTACATCTTGTCGAACATCGAGGTATCTGCGGTAACACTCTTTGGGTCAAAAGAATACGAGCAGGTACATGTAGAACTCTAAATTGACTATTTCAAAAATGCATATGAACAACAGTTTCCATCCATAGTGAGTTTAAATCACATGCAATGCTTTAAATATACCATTGTCTTTACCAGGGCATAAACCAATGGAAATGTTCTTTAACAAAGAATGCAGAATCGAATTAACTCGAATTTGCCAATGGAGAGCACAATGACCATACACGGTAATACCGTAACGAAGCACACTCTAGTCTAGAGCATCTACAACAATTTTTCGAATGGATAGTGGCAGAACATATCTAGTGTTGTATAGCAAACAAGACACTGCACGAACTTTCTTACATACATGAGCAAAATGAGTGTTTCAGTTTATAGGTCACTGTCAAAGAATAAGCCAAGATGTTTTATAGACGATGTACGCTGTATAGGCTCACATGCACATGATAGACATCCAGACGCGTATGTAACCGTAAAAAGGAGGTCATATCAATTTTTTCAAAG